AGCACCGCCTTGAGTATAAAAAAGGGAGGAAACCTCGAGCGGGGGCGTTGTTTTTGCTGGGGGCGGCGCCGAGAGAGAAAGACTAGCGCGCCAGTCCAAGGTAAAACGGGAGGAAGTCTCGAGCGGGAGCGCTGATTTTGTTAGGACGGCGGCTTCCGGCGGCGAGCAAGAGCACCAGACCTGAGTAAAAAAGGCGGAAGTCACGAGCGGGAGCGTAGTTGTTGTTGGGGGGGCGGTTTTGGCGGTCTCCCAAACCGCTTGAGCGCGAGCCTCATTTTAATGAAAATGGACCGGCGCCTCGGCGAGAGCGCCAATGCGCCTTTAAGGTGTCCGACGATAACAACAGTTTCGTAACATGTTTCGTAATTAATATACAACAACAACAACAACAACAACAACAATCATTATAAGACTGCTCGTTCCTATCTGCCCGCGTGTCATTCACTACGCATATCCCAAACCCTGGACACACGCCCTCTTCGTCTTCGATCGCACCCCTCTAAGGGGTTATATTTCTTCCCGGTCACGTGCAATTGGAGAAGCGCGGGAGGCGAACCCGCAATCAGAGGCAGCGAGCTCTGGAACTTGTCGGCGAGACCTTACTTCACTTGTCGCAAGCAGATACCAGCGGCAATCCACACTGAGACCCCATTTCATTAGCCATAAAGCTGGGGTCACTGCGTGCAGGAAAGCGAAATACGGCTGTGGACAGTGTTGTTGCCCAGCGGCCCCGCGGGAGGGGAAGTCGGAGCCCGATGTCATCAATCACATTGCTGGGATTCGCGCGTGCGGGAATGTGATCAGCTATATACAATAACGAAGCGCCATTTCTACAGCGCCAGGATCTGCTTGTGCGAAAGGGGTAAGCCTCAGCAGCAGGCACTGGCGATGCTGCTCAGCGTGATGTGGAAAGCAACGCTCAAGGAGACGTGGGAGGTGAACTGGGGCCCGCCGTCGCCGGCCACGTTGGGGTGAGAGCTCTGGCAATGTTCGGGGGCACATGCGAGACGACGACGACGACGACGACGACGATGACGACAGTGACGGTAGGGAGGGAGGGGGGGAGGAAGGAAGCAGGGAGGCGCGGGAGAAGGGAGGGAAGGAGGCGAAAGGAAAGAGATAGAGAGAGAGAGAGAGCGAGAGAAAAAGAGAGAGAGAGAGAGCGATAGAGAGAGTGATGGAAAGAGAAAAAAAGAGAGAGAGAGAGAGAGAGAGGACGAGGAGGCCGCAGACCCGACGCCCCGCCGATACAGGCTTTTTGACACGCTGGCCCCCGACGCCCGCGGAGTGCACCGGGCCCCAACGCCGATGTGGACTATCGTAGTAGGAACTCGCGCAGAAGTCTCCAGCGGGACCTGAATAAATTGTGAGGGCGTCTCAAGCGGGAGGGGGGGGTCCTGAATGGATTGGGAGCGGGGATCCTAACTAAATCTCGATAGGCGGGAGAGGGGGTCCTGACTAAATTGCGAGGAAGTCTCAAGCGGGAGCCGTTGTTGTTGTAATCCGGGGGGCAACAACACAGTCTGAGGATGACGACTTCCCCTGACAAAAAAACAGGGTACGAGCGTCGAGGGGCACACTTTGATTGAGAAAAACAGTATGCACCGGGGGGGATTAACAAGCGGCACGTGCGTGCCCAGGCTCATACAAAGAGGAGGAGGAGGAGGAGGAGGAGGAGGAGGAGGAGGAGGAGCAGGAGCAGGAGCAGGAGCAGGATTAGAAGCAGGAGCAGGAGGGAGGCAGGAGCGGAGCAGGAGGAAGAGGGACGGAGGAGGAGGGGGGGGAAAGGGGGCGGAGGGGGACGGGGAGGGAGTGGTGAGGGTGAGGGGTTGAGGGGGAGGGCGGAAGGGAGTGGGAGGGGGAGGCGGAGGGGGAGGAGGAGAGGGAGCGGAGAGGAGGAGGAGGAGGAGGAGGAGGGGAGATGACGACGATCAGCGTAGGGGTGCCTGCGTATGAGAAGGGAGGGGCAGGGGGAGGCGGAGGGGAGGAGGAGGAGGAGGAGGAGAGGAGGAGGAGGAGGAGGAGGAGGAGGAGGAGAGGAGGCGAGGGAGGAGGACGATCAGCGTAAGGGGCGCCGCCGAGTTTCAAATATGTTGTAAATTCCTTGTGTCTGTTGCACCTGACCCCGCCGATCTGCGTGAGGGGTGCCACCGATGTTCGAAAACGTTGCCAATCCCATGTGTTTTGTTGACTCTGACCCCGCCGATCTGCGTGAGGGGTGCCACCGATGTTCGAAATCGTTGCAAATCCCTTGTGTTTTTGACCATGACGTCGCGATCTGCGTGAGGGGTGCCACCGATTTTCAGAATGCCAAGGATGTCCCAAGCGAAACGGCCGGAAAAATCCCGGACGCGGCCGCGCGGGGCCGCGCGGCCGCGCGTACGCATTAATCGCCTCTGAGCTCTATTCCCTCGGAGAGGTGCGTATGAGAACAATAATTATTCTTCAGGAACGAGAGTTTGAAGGAGGTCCCAGGCGGGAGCGCCGTTATGAGAGTTCAACGTAGCTCAGTTGTGCGGGAGGTCCCAGGCGGGAGCGCCGTTCCTTGAGTAAATTGTGCGGAAGTCTCAGGCGGGAGCGGGGGTCCTGAGTAAATTGCGAGGAAGTCTCAGGCGGGAGCGCCGATCCTGAGTAAATTGTGAGGAAGTCTCAGGCGGGAGCGGGGGTCATGAGTAAATTGTGAGGAAATCTCAAGCGGGAGCCGTTGTTGTTGTAATCTGGGGGGGCATCAACGCAGTTTGAGGATCAAGACTTTCCCTGTCAAAAAACAGGGTGCGAGCGTCGAGGGGCGCACTTTGACTGAGAAAAACAATGTGCACCGGTGGGGGGGATCAACAATAATTATTCTTCAGAAATGAGAGTTCAACAACCACAACCACAACCACAACCACAACAGCAACAACAGCAACAACAGCAACAACAACAACAACAACAACAACAACAACAACAACAATAATCATGTTACGCCTGTCCACTCGTATCTGCTCACGTGCCGATCAATACGTATCTCCCAAGCCCTCGGTACCCGCCCTGGTCGTCTTCGATCGTACCCCCTTGGGGTATATCTTCATTACCTGCCACGTGCATTTAGTGCAGCCCCTAAATGAGGGGAAGAGAGGACAGGTGGAAGGGGGAGGGAGAAGAATGGAGCACGAGAGAAATGAGCAGGAGGTGGCTAGGAGCAAAAAACAACTGGTAGAACCAGACGGGCAGATCGGGTGGGCAGACCCATAGCGGGCAGGTCGGGAAGGCGGGCCCAGGCGACCAGGTCGAGCAGGCGGCGCCCCAGAAGTTTGGGCCAGGAGGCGCCCTAGGCAATGGCCTTGTGGATGCCACGACAGTGGACACCCCAACTGTCCTATCATTGAATTTAGCATGTGTTGAAAATGTCGGAAAATGTTCTAAACACCTGTTAATCATGCCTTAACATGTTTAAAACATGTTTGACACATGTATTATTTTAGACATCTGGAAATTATTCGGCAACATGCTTCCTCTCCATTGATCGTCCTCCACAACTCTAGCCCAGCAGGCATGAGGAAAAATTTTGTAGGGCAGGAGGGGGGCGGCCCAGACGTGGGCCCAGCGGGCGTATGGAGCGTCCAGGGCGGGAGCGGGGCGCCGTAGATTTTTGGCCCAGGCGCCCTAGACTCTGGCCCAGCAGGCGTAAGGAAAGTCCAGGGCGTTGAGGAATTAAAAACGCCCCTACCCTGGGTTACAAGTGCGTGGTCAGTAAACCTCCTGGGAGCTCCCACAGGCCAGAGAGCCGCCAGGACGCCGCGCGGCATGCGCGATACGCAGAGCTTACCCTGTCAGCCCACAGGAGGTTCAGCGCACAGCGCTTCGTAAACCAGGGTAGGGGTGCGTTTTACGCCCTTGAGGCCGGGAGGGGGGCGACCTAGACTTCTGGCCCAGGCGCCCTAAGTCTTTGGCCCAGCACGGCGTGGGGAAAAGTCCAGGGCAGGAGGGGGGCGCCCTAGACTTTGGGCCCAAGCTCTGGCGCCGGAGGCCAGCGCGGTCAGGCGCGGGGCCCCCGCGAAATACGGCAACCTCAGGACTCCCTCCCAAGCCCGCTGAGCTCCCTGGCTCCCCTTCCAGCTGCTCCCTACTCTTAAGTCGGGCCTGTCCCCCTACAGGGGGATCTTGGGCGAAAAACCTGAAATATTCAAAAAATACCCCAAAATGGCAACAACAACAAAAAAAACTCACAAAATAGTCCCCCGACTATTTTTATGTTATTTTTTGATTATTTGGGGGGTATTGTTTATTCTTCGTCAGAAATCCCCCTGTAGGGGGACAGGCCCGACTTATCCCTACTCCCACCCCACACCCCCCCCACCCCAGGTCGCCCTAGACTACATGGAAGCGTCCAGGGCAGGAGCCCTTGCACCTGACGGCGCTCCCCTGGACTGGACTTTTTGGGGGGCTGCCCTGGGCCACCCTGCGCTGCCCAAAACCGCCTTGGTACGATCGACCCTCGAGCTGCCTGGATTGCAGCGGACCCTCGGCGCCCTAGGCTTCACTGGCCCATGGACCGTGCGCCCTGGGGCCGGGCCCTCCACCTGACGGTGCTACCAACAACAAGGAAAACGAAACCGACAACGACGACGACGACGACGACGACGACGACGACGACGACGACGACAACAATAATCAGTTTCAAGACTGCTCGTTTTCCGTTGCTCGCATGTCGCTCAACACGTATGCCCCAACTCCTCGATATCCGCCCATTTCGTCCTCGATCGTACCCACTGTGGGGGGCTATATCTTCCTTGCGCGCCACGTGTAGTTGGCGCGGTCTCTTTGAAAAGCGGGAGGAAGAGGAGGAGGAGGAGGAGGAGGAGGAGGGGGAGGAGGAGGAGGAGGAGGAGGAGGAGGAGGAGGAGGAGGAGGAGGGAAAAGGAAAAGGGAGACAGCGAGGAAAGGATGAGGAAACGAGGAAGGAGGTGGGCAAGAGGAGGGAAGGAGGACCAAGGGCGAGCAAGAATGATCGCGGCCACCTTCTGGACGGCCACGATCTCCTCCGCGCGCAGCTGCTGGCGCGACTCGAAGTCGCGCGCCTTCTGGTCGCAGGTGGCGGTGAGGTCGTCCAGGTACTTCTTGTCCTCGTCCCGCGTGGCGGTGGTGTCGGTGAGCTCGCCCTCCGCCTCCGCCTGTCCAGGCGCCGCACTCATGGAGCGGGCGGCGCGCGGATTGGCGACGGGCCCCGCCTCCTTGCGGAATCGGCGCGATCCGTCGCCGCAACGGGCGGCACCGGCTCCACGCTTCGGGGGGGACCTCCCCCGAGCCGTGGATGTGGCGTGACAGTTTCATTCTGCCGTTGCAGAGTGCTCGCAGCCCAGAAGATCACTGGCTCGAATCGTTGCTTTTGATGGGAAAAACCAGAAGGTCGTGGATCGGGCGCACGCGCGCCAGATCCACGGATCCCTGTTCCACGGCAGTGCGAGCCCGAGCCTTGGCCTGCAGCTTCTTGGCCTTGGACTCCGTCTTCTCCCCCTTGTCCGTCGTCGCCTGCTCGGTCTGCGCCGTGAGGTCCTGCACCAGCATCTCGAACTGGTGGTGAGCGTTCATCTCCTCCTTCTCGATTCCTGTCCTGCATATGGATAGCAGGCGACCACCCACAACCAGATCGAGGACACACCGTGGGGGGTGTCTTGCGCACGCCAACAATTGTCAGAACACAGAAGCCAGCTCACTACTGGTGGTCATCGGTGTGAGCGTCCAAGAACGGCCAAGTCGACCACAACCACAACCAAAGTGCTCATGTCGAGGCTGGTGGGTTCTCCCCTCAGGGGTCCTCCAGATTAATCCCCTTGGTTGTGGTTGCGGTTCTTTGCCATGCACCAGGCATCCTCTCGCCCACGAACTTGTCCAGCAGCTTCTCCAGCATTTCGATGATGCCGTGCGACTGGAACTCGTAGCCGGCAGCCTCTGGGGCGCTGACGGCGAGGCCCTCGTCGGGGTCCTCCTGCAGGAAGGCGTCGAGGGCCCTCTTCGCCTTGGCCGGGATCAGGTTCAGCGTCTTCAGCTTCGCCACCTGCGCGAAGGACGCATGCTTGCGGTCGTAGGCCTGCTTCTTGAGGACCTGGACATCTCTGTTTTGTTGGAGATCGAGGGGGGGGCGAGGGGGGGTGCACCTCTCAGATAAGCAAGAAGCCATGATCATGTCACGTTCCAAGATGTCCCAGATTTCCCGATGAAGAAATCTTGGGGACCTGGATGGCGCGCTCCAGGGCATCCACCGACTCCGAGTAGTCCTTGTGCAGGGCGTCGTAGTCGGCCTTCTCCAGCTCCCGGACCTTCCTCGCGGCCTTCACGCAGGATCCGTCCGCATTGCATCGCGAAATCGGACCGGCCGGGAGCAACGCGCGTCGGATCGGGCCGCATTGGCACAGAGTCGAGGTCGAATCCGGTCGGCCGCGCCAGGATGCACAGCTGCACCCGTACGTGCGCCAGACGTATCGGGTCGTCGGGACATCGGAATCGAGTCAAACCGAGCCAGCCGGGGTCGACACCGAACAAGACCGATCGGTTTGAAAAGCCATCGTTTGAAACCTTTCGCGATAACGCCCGCTACCAACCCCGGCCCGCCCCCAGCCCCCCCGCCCGGTCGTCACGCCCGTGATCGCAAGGGGGGGGTGGGGGGGGAATTGTCTCGAAGTGGAGGCGGTCGAGGTCTCTGACCTGTCTGGATCCCCAGAAGATCGGTCAGGAAGGGGGGATGTTGGGCGAAAAATTAAAAAAATACTCATACAAAAAAAACTCCCAAAATGCTCAAAAATAGTTTTAAAATAGTCCCCAGACTATTTTTGACTATTTTTGAATATCCCTTCTGTAGAGGGACAGGCCCGACTTGAGCCAAATCCGCTCAAAACCTGTCCACGCACCACTACCGGGGTCCATCTGGTGCAATGTGTCGCCCTGGATCCGTTTCTGACGGTCCCGGGGCCTGCACATGGCCCCCGGGTGACCGACAAGGACAGAAACACCTTCTCCAACCCAAAACCTCGAACCTCGCCCCCCCCCTTCCCGCTCGCCAGAGCCAGCGATGGGCCACCTCAGATGCCCGGCCAGCTCCGAGCTTCGCAGCGGAGCCTGCCCTCGCCGCCCCTCCAGTTGCCCGCCTCGCTGATCGACGAGGGCAGGGCTCGGACTTCGCCGCCGATAGAAGCGGACCCCGCCCTCCTGGGTGAGCCGTCATGGGAGCCGGTGGGCCTCAGCGGCCCCATCATGAACGTGATTTCGACGAGGCTTCGTCCAGGTTTCAACCACCCCTCTTCACCCGTTCGTCCAGGCGTCGTCCCGGTGCCGACCAGGCTCCGCCAGATCCGGACGAGATCACCAGGACGGCCAGGACTTCTAAGGTCCTCCGAGGCTCCTCGGACCTTCCTAGGGAGGACCACACGGGCTAACCCACGCTCTGAGGATCATCGGCCTGGGCCCAGACGTCGGCGTCTCCTGCGCCCTCCCAGCTTGGCCGGGGGGGCGCACACGAACGCACCGGCCCCGGGCCTGGGAGAGGCCTGCCCGGGAACGGCCGCAGGAGAATCGCCCCAGGACGACCACACCGATCATCTGCGTTGCTCACATGCTGATGCCGCGCCTCTCCGTCGGCGGTGGACAAACCTCCCTTTAGTAGACCTCCCCTTAGTGAAAACCGCCTGGGACCGAAATCGACGGACCTGGACCCGCAAAAATGACGGCTGCGACGCCCTCTCGCGAACCGAAAACGGCCAATTCCTTAATCGACGTGTCAGGGTAGGAGGTCTGTCCAACCCCGACTCCCGGAGAGCGTGCTGACCAAACTCCGATGCGAAGCCGGCCGTGGCGGAGCGGGCCTGCCAGGAGGCCCAGGAGAGCGAGAGCAGGGGCAGGGGTGGCGCTGGAGGTGCCTCGTCCTCCTCTTGACTTCCAAGGCGACCCTGACCACACAACGGCCCCTGGCCTTCTGTTGCTCCCATCCTACTTAAGGACCACATCCCAGAAAGAATTTCGAGCTCCCGGAAAAGTGTCGAAAGAGTGTCGAAAGAGTGTCGAAACGGTGTCGGGCGAGTGTCCCCCAGGGCCCGACGCGTGAAAACCCTCGAGTTTGGGTGTTTTCCTGGCGCTCGAAATTCTTTCTGGTGATCAAGGCTAAAGTAGGTCAGAGCATCATAACCCTGGCCTTCATGTCCCAAACCAACAGCGGCCGCTGTTGGGCAGGCGGCCTCCTGCCTCGAATGGACACAGGCCGCGGCGGCGTGGACAGCGAGTCCTGTTCAAAATGAACAGGAACCGCTGTTGGCATTGTACCCATTCTTTCCGTGCCCAATTCGTTCGTGCAGAACAACGGCCCCTGGCCTTCATGTCCCCGTCCCAGGCGGCGATGTCTGCCTCGTGCGCGGCAATCTCCTGCGGGGCCCGGGAGCTGCCGTCGCGGCCTCCCTGCCCGGGCTCCGCCGCCCCCTCGTGGCGCTAGCCAGTCCTCAAGCTCCCTCATCCTCGAGTCTCTCTCCTGGATCCTGGCTTCTTCTCCTCCTCCTCCTCCTCCTCCT